ATGCTATGACATACCTTCAAGGCAGGTGGAACTTGAACCTGGACCTTCTGCACCAGAGGCAGGGACATTATCACTGTGCCACAAATATCCTCACTCGAACATAAGCATGTGGCTTCACAATACTAGCTCAGTGACACTAACACTATAGTAACATTTCCCCCAATCCTCTTTTTTATTATTTTAATCAACCAAATAGTGAAATTTGGATTGGGAGCCCTCAAGGGGCATGGCAACAGAAAATCGGAATTTCAAAGGAAACTTATCAATTTAAATTCAAACAGCATTGTGAAAGATGATGGCTCACTCCAGCCCCTGCAGTACCCACCAATTATGAAAGGCTGAATCGTACCAGTGGACATACCATGCTCTTTCTCCAAGGATACTCACATGTGAACATAACCATGGTAGTCGGAAATGTAAGGCCCTATGGTCTGCTGCCTAGACCTTGCATGCATGTTTAATGACCATCTTCCTTTCACTATAGTGTACGGAAATTTAAATTTAATGGTGCCAAATGTGAGAAACAGGAAATGTGTGCTAGAATTATACCTTCAAAGAACCAGTCTTAGTCACAGTAGGACGGTACAAGTTATTGTCTCACAGGTGCAGAAACATTTTGCCATATTGTCATTACAAAGGATCATCATTCCAGATTACTTACAGACATAGTGAACTTTTAAATACAGCTTCTTTTTTTTTGAAAAATGACAATATACAGCCAAAAGATGACTGTGGAAGCAAATTCAGTGATTGCCTTGCAAAGCCCTAAATGAATCCATGGAACCCATTATATGGGAGGCAATGGCCTAGTGGTATTATCGCTAGACTATTTATCCGAAACTCAGCTAATGTTCTGGGGACCTGGGTTCAAATCTCACCATGGCAGATGGTGGAATTTGAATTCAATAAAGAATCTGGAAATGTTACTGTGAAGCCACTGACCATTGTCAGAAACACCCATCTGGTTCACCAATGTCCTTTAGAGAAGGAAATCTGCTATTCTTACCTGATCTGGCCTACATGTGACTCCAGACCCACAGCAACGTAGTTGACTCTTAACCACTTTCTGGGCAATTAGGGATAGGCAATAAATGATGGCCTAGCCATAGATGCCTACATGAATGAATATATTTTTAAAAGCACATCTGTAGAGCAAAAGAGAAACTTCAGAGAAACTTGAAAGGAAGAGACAATGAGGGACTGACTATCTGTCTCAAAGAAACCTATCTCCTGTGAAGCACATCCCAAACAGCATATATGCTTGCCTTTTACTTTCACAGAATTTTTAAAAAGATGAAGATAAAAGCCAATTGCAATCCTAGGTCTGTAAGAACTAGTAGGCTATTGTGCTGAGAAGATCTCAGTTTGAGGACAGCCATTAGACATCCCTGCATGGCAGGCAGGTAAAAGAAATACTCTCCCACTCTGATTGTTAGAAGCCAGGCCAGCCAGCGAAGACAATATCAAGAAAGAAACAGGATAAAATCCTGTAAGTTAATGGCAGAAGCTGGAACCTTGAAATCAATTGTGTTCACTACAAATGTCAGCAAAATCAGTATCATCCAACTTAGTGAATGCAACGTTCCACTTTCAGAGATCTTGGAGACTGACTTGTATATCTTTTTAACCAATACCTTTTTACTCAATTCTCTAAACTGTGTTTGTGTGTGTATCTCTTATTATCTTTTCTCATGTTTGTTAATAAATGCACTCTTTCTTGAATTTAAGGAAGCCTGCTTAATTTGGCTCTTTTAAAAATATCATCAAATTTGATTAATAAATGGTATTCATAAAAGAAGGGATCTTTTTTTAAACTAACTTTGTTTCGACCGACTAAGAGAGGGGTTGAATTAAGAAGGGTATCCAGTTAGTCCCTCCTTAGCCAGGAGTTCAATCATTTGGAGATATCCTGCCTGAATGGCAAAGAATTGGGGAACCTCAGCTGAGGACTGATCATAACAATGTTTTATTATTCTGCCACTGACAGAAAGGATTACATGTCTTTAAGGTCACAAAGTCCCATAACTTTGAAGTCCACAATGAAGTCAATTAGGGAACTGCAGCCTTAGAGTTCATTTGTTTCTTTATTTAAATATGACCCACAAGGTTTGCACCATCTTACAAAGAAAACAAAAATCAATGCAACTAACGTTATGTAAACCCTGGGGTGAGTTCACCCAAAAGTTAATTTTTCAGGCTGAATCCTAATTTCAAACGTAAACCAATAGCCTGGGCTCCAGTAAGAAGGTGATAAGAATAACAGCAGGAACAGGTTATTTGACCAATAGAGCCTGCTCTGCCATTCAATAAGAGCACCAATAATCTGTCGCCTTAATTCTACTTTCAGGTCTACTCACAACACCTTACCACTCGCTTGTAGACTGAAAATCTGTCAGACTCCATTTCAAAATATTCCATGATCCAGCCTGCCCTCTGAAAGAAGAAATTCCTCATCATCTGTAATCTATTTTTAAATTCCGCTCAGTCTACCTGCTAACAGTGATGGATGTACAAGGATCCCCAGATCCCTCTGTCATGTAGCATTCTGTAGTATCTCCATTTAAATACTATCCTGTCTTTCTATTCTCCCTCCCAAATAGGGTACCCTTCCACATTCACACAGTGTCACCCATTTGCTGAATTCTGGCCCATTCATTCAACCCATCAATATCCTGGTGCACTGTCTATATCCTGCTCACAATCTACTTTCTGACCATAATGTGCTATCCTGGGGACATGTTTCTATATATTGCAAATGACTACTGCTATTTTTTTTAAGCATGGATATGTAATATAATGGTATTAAACAGTGTGTTATGGACCAGACCAAACCCCCTTCAAATATATCAAGAAGATAACCTAGACCCAAACTTTTTCTTATTTAAAGGCAAGTGTGAGGTGCTGTGTTCCAGATGTAATTCGATCGGTTACACTCCTCGGCTTTCAGCAATGATGTGGAGGTGCCAGTGTTGGACTGGCATGGACAAAGTCAGATGTCACACAATACCAGGTTATAGTCCAACAGGTTTATTTGAAATCACAAGCTTTTGGAGCTCAGTCCCTTCATCAGGTGAAGTGGAAGATGAAGGCACTTCACCTGACGAAGGGGCTATGCTCTGAAAGCTTGTGATTTCAAATAAACCCGTTGCACTACAACTTAGTAGCGTGTGACTACTGGCTTTAAGCAAAACACACTTTATTCTTATTCTACAGTTAAAATACAAACAAAAGAAATAAGAATTGGTCTAACTTTACCTCTATTGGAAAACTTAACACAATAATAGATTATTTAAGTACTAAACTGTTCCAACATACCAACATCCCATAAACACACCCTTGGCAAATGGAAATTCAGTAAAACAGATGGACCATAGAAAACATTCTATCTGGACGCATTACAGCTTGGTATGGCAACTGATCTACCCAGGACCATAAGAAACTACAGAAAGTTGTGAACACAGCTCAGACCATCGTTCAAGCCAACCTTCCACCCATTGATTCCATCTACACTTCTCATTGCTGCGAAAAGGCAGTGGGCATTACCAAAGACCCCTCCCACTCTGCATATACTCTCTTCCAACTTGTTTTGTTAGGCTGAAGATACAAAAGCTTAAACACGTGCTAACAGATTCAAGGACAGCTTCTTCCCCACAATTAGACTTAACGGACTTCACAAATTTCAAATCTAATGTTGATCTTCCTTTTTGTGCACCTCCTTTGCAGCCGTAACTTTGTATTCCTCACTCTGTTCAATCACCCCAAGTTCTTTGTGGCTTCATATGTTATGATCTGCTTGCATTACACACAAAACAGAGCTTTTCACTGTACTTAGGTACATATGACAATGATAAATCGAATCAAATCAATTTTGGCAGCTGAAGGAGAGCCCAAGCTATTAACTGTAACAGAGAAGTGAATGCCGGCTTCTATATAGCCAACTTGAAAAGACAGCAACGGCTGGAAGTTAAACTGAAACCCTGATTTGTGGGAGTCTGACTCCACCCATTCATGCTGCTTCTATTGTTGCAACTTAAAAGAAAAACCCTAAAGCCTCACAAGCTGTTTATTGGCTTGGAACAGACAGCTCTATGCCTCTGTTTTAATGTCTCTTCTTAAAAAAAAGGATAAAATACACCTCTTAAAGCCATAGTATCATCGCAAGTGTGACATTTGAGGTGTAACAAATGATAATTGCAGGCATACGTGAAGATAATTTCTTTAAAAAATCCCCACAAAATGCAATGACAACAGACTTCCAACAATGTAGCTCAAAGCATATTGCTCAATCTCAGAGCCAATCTATCAGACTTGCACTGGAAAAATCGTGAGCTCAAATTACAAAAAAAACTGTGACGTCACTTATGCACGTTAAAACCTACACAGGAAAGCACATATTTCAAAGGTACATCACCTCATGGATGATTTTAAATCATCAAAACCTTTTAAGTATTCATAGAACAGCTTACAAATTGCCCTATGTATTGTACTAAATTCCAGATACGTAACTATTATGCTGAAAGTAAACATATTGCTATTCTATGTCACAAGTATAATAGCTGGACTTAGCCTCAGCTATACTTCAACAGTGAAATTCAGATTTAATCTGCTGCCATTCAGTGGCAAAAGTAAATACTGCAGGTGCATAAACAATGAAATTCAGCATAGCTGAATTAACTGCTTCAGTTTGGCCATTTAATGTAAAAGTCCCAGGTTAACAGTCTTGTGTTTCAGTGGTAGTGTCCTTGTCTCTAGACCAGAAGGTTCAGGTTCATGACCCTGAAGGTGTGTCATAACATATCCAAACAGGTTAACTTAATTTTTGCCTTAAGTCTCAGGCAAAACCTATCTTTTTGACCGTAATTTCAATCACTCCCATTCATATTCAAAATTCTGGTTGGTGTTTGTTTCTTATCTGTAAAGCAATCTGAGATGTTTGCTTATTAACCTGTAAAGTAAACTGGGATATTCTACAAATGTCAGCAGTCCATTAAGAGACTTACCTTTGCATTCCTGTACTATGTTGTGTGCTTCTTTTGGCAGAGAGGACACCTCCAAGTTAACAAAACGTGCTAGTACTTCCAGTCCCTTGTCATTGGTCAGACCACTTTGCACAGAAACTGAGAAGTTATTACCTGCAAAATATTAAAAATGTTAAATGAGCATTTCTCTACGAGTTGTACTTCCTAAATTCATAAATTTAACAAAGCAATATTTCTTAAAAACTAATAAAGTGGTTCAACATTTCCAGTCATAACTGGAAACCTCATTCAATCCCTGCATTACAAGAACAATAAATTTTCCATCTTTTCTTTAATTTCATCCTCTGAAGTTGGCAACGAATGTTCAGACACAACGCTACTGTATCCAAACAGTCATTAAGCTATCTATGGAGTCCTTGAAGAATCACAAAAACTCACAGGGAATCTACAGGGTCTTCAATAAAACTGACAACCCTACTTTTTTTTTTTAATTCACAGCATCTTTTCATATTCTCCTGCCTTTTTCCAAAACCCTCGATTCCCTTACTGACTAAATATCTGTATCCCTCAGGCTTCAGTATGCTTGCCTTTGCCAAGGGTGTGTTTATGAAATGCTTCTATATTGGAACAGCTGCTGTTACTAGTTAAATAATCTACCATTTTGTTAAGTTTTCTGATAGAGTTAAGTTATTCAAATTCTTCTTTCTTTTGTTTGTATTTTAACTACAGTGTTAAAAATAAAGCGTGTTTTGTTTCAAGCCTAGTAGTTTGACCAATCGAACTGCATCTGGAACACAAGGCCTTACACTCGCCTTTATAAGAAAGAAAAAGTTAAGCTATCTTCTTTACAAGATACAGGCCTTCCATCTCATGTTCAGCAACTTGCAGTGCAAAATATCATAAAAATTAAACAGGTCAGGGCAAGTCTAATTAAAGTTACTGTTCACTGAACAATTACACAAATTCTGGGCCATTGGTCTTTTGGTGACATTATGTCAAGATACATTAATGTCTAGTGATTTGCATGCATAGACACCTAAATCCATCAATTTTTCCACACTTACTATCATCAAGAAAATATTCCAATCCCTCAAAACTAAAGTGGACGATCACAAATCCCCACAATGTCACTATTCAGCTAACTCCCAAACAAGTCACAAAGTTAATGGCAAAATATGCGTTTTCATCTTTGTTTATCATCTCCTTTGAAATACATTTTCAAAGTTCATTCGACAACACTCCTGTTCCACCATGCTATTCATTTCAAAAAAATTCACCTGGATTCATTTGCCATAACATACCTTACACAAATTAATGCTGACTAACTTTGATCAGCTGATAATTGTTCAAGCCACTCTATCTCCGATAACAGATTCCAGCGATTTAGTTTATTGTCAATTGAAGAAGAACCTGATAGGGTGTAGTTTCCTGCCTTCACCCTCCATCTCTTAAATAACACACTTACATTTGCAATCTTCCAATCCAAAGCCAAAATTGCTGATTTTAGAGAGCTTTGGAAAATTATGACTAATGTACCTGCAATTTCCTTACCTATTTCTCTCAATAGCCTAGGGTGAAAACTAATAGATCCTGACTTTTTCCTTCATCTTAAATGCCATTATTTGCTTCATTGCCATTTTAAAAACTCATATTACACCCATTAAATTAACCCCTTTGACTTACTTTTAGTTTCTCGTGTAGGAATGGCAATTTGTATCCATCTTTGTAGTGCAAGAAGGCAAAGCAGGTATTTAACAGGTCTGCTATTTTCTAATCCATTAGGATCTTGCCTGCATCTCACTTTAATGAATCCACCTTCTACTTTCTAATTTCACTCTCCTTGTACAGTGAAAACAAAAATGCTGTTAACGTTGATATCATCTTAAAGTTTTTTTTTCCCTTTAGTGCCACAAAAGATATTCTTTGCATTTATCTACAGTTCTCACAGGCTGCTGGACTTCTACTTTTCCTTGCATTTGTGCACATCTTTCCCTTTAGCTTGATGATGTCCCTGATCACATTTGTTAACCACAGTGGGTAACAATGTAACTGCAGTCTTTGCCTGAAGTGCCCTGGTTTTGTATAATTGGAAATAATTCTTCAAATACTTCCCCACTGTTTATGACAATCCCACCGGATCTATCACCAAGCATGAATCCTGAAGCCCCACGTTCTATTGCAATCCACACTCAATCCTGTCTGAAGGAAGGCCTGTAGCAGTTCATTCGCATTCATTTCCTCAATATGGAAGTATTTCCCACAAGGCACCCTCAAGAATCAATCACAGTCTATCAACAAGTGGTCAAGTTCCGCATCATAGAAAATGGCCTCGTCTACAAAAGCATGATTTAAGAAATGAAGAAGCAAAATCTGGAGTAGGCAAACTCTCAAATGCCCCGCCAGCTTAGCCCCCTCACTGAAAAGCATTTAATTGCTCCTGTGAGTCAAATTCATTTCTATTTTGATTGAAAATACGAAGAGAGTTGTCTGCTGGTGAAAACAAGGATGGTAAGAAATAACGCTTTCAATGCTCTGGCAGTACATTCTCGAGAAGACACGGGTATCAAGCAATACAGCTTGGCATTACGGTTGTCTTACTGCCAATTCATCCGAAGACCAGTAGGACCATTAGAAACTGCTCTATTCTTCAAGACTCATTTACATGTTGACAATCATGCTGGCCTTGTACTCTTCAAAACTCTCAACCTCTAAATGTTGACCCTATTGTAGGGTCAACAAGAGTAAAGAGATAAACACGTAGCTCAAGAATTAGTCTGGGAGAAAGGGGTTGGAATTCTTGGGACACTAGCATCAGTACTGGAGAAGGAAGGAACTCTTCCGATAGGATGGAATCCACCTGAATCATGCTGGGACCAGAAGGCTGGTGAATCACATAACTACAGCTGTAGTAATGGGGCTTTAGAATAAATTGCGTGGACGTGGGTTCAGTTGCATAGATATTTATAGAAAAAGTTAAAATGGAGGTGGAGGGTGAGCTTAGCAGAGGTTATTAAAGTTTCCTGAACAAGTAATAGGACAGAGAGAATGGAAAGGGTCAGGAATCTAACTTCAGGCACAGGAGAAAAAGGGAGAATTATGAGAGGGGAAGCAGTCAACGCAGCACTGAGGGTGTTGTACTTAAATGCACACAATATATGAAACAAGATGAATGAGCTTGTGGCGCAGACTGAAATTGGCAGGTATAACGTTGTGAATATCATGGAGACGTGGCTGCAAGGGGATCAAGGCTGGGAACTAAATATCCAAGGATATATTTCCTATTGAAAGGAGAGGTAATTGGACAGAGGGAGCAGATTGCCTTGTTAGTAAGAAATGAAATGAAGTCCATAACAAGAAGTGATATAGAGTCAGAAGGTGTAGAATCTGTGTGGGTAGAGTTGAGGAAGCACAAAGATAAAAAGACCCAGATGGGAGTTACATACAGGTTCCTGAGCAGTAGTCAGGATGTAGGGAAGAAAATAAATTGGGAGGTAGAAAAGGCATGTAAGAAAGGCACTATTACAATAATCACGGGGGTTTTCAATATGCAAGTGGACTGGCAAAATAATGTTGGTAGCAGATCCCAAGAAAAAGAATTTGTGGAATGTCACTGAGATGTTTTTTTGGAAGCAGCTTGTGGTACAGCCCAGTAGGGAACAGGCAATTCTGGATTTGGTGATATGTAATGAGGCAGACTCAATTAGGGAGTTGAAGGTGAGGGAACCACTAGGGGGAAATAACTATAATAGGATAGAATTCACCCTGCAATTTGAGAGGGAGAAGCTGGAATCAGATGTAATGGTATTACAATGGAGTCAAAATAACAATGAAGACATGAGGGAGGAGCTGGTCAGAGATGATTGGAAGAGAAGCCTAGCAGGAGCAGCAATGGCAGGCGTTTCTGGGGGTATTTCGGGAGGCATAGCAGAAAGTCATCCCAAGGAAGAAGAAACATACTAAGGGGACCATGGCTAACAGGGGAAGTCAGGGACGGCTTTAAAGCAAAACAAAAAGCACACAATGTGGTGAAAGTTAGTGGGATGCCAGAGCATTGGGAAGCCTTTAAAAACAAGCAGAGGATCACTTAAAAATAAATGCAATAAGAGGGGAAGATGAAATGAGAGACAGTTAGTTAGTAATATAAAAGAAGATAGCAAGAGTTTTTTTCATTTATACAAAAGGTAAGAGAGAGATAAGAGTGGACATTAGAGTGCTGGAAAATAAGGCTGGGGAAGTAATAAACAACAGCAAAGAAATGGCAGAGGTCTGAATAGATCATTTGCATAAGTCTTCATGGTTGTAAACACCAGTAGTATATCAGAAGTTCAAGAGGGTCAGGGGACTGTGTGAGTGTAGTCACTAAAGAGAAGGTATTGGCGATGCTGAAAGCTCTGAAGGTGGATAAATCATCCCAGAGACCTGAAGGAGATTGTAGAGGCACTGGTGATGATCTTTTAGGAATCACTGGAATCAAGGAGGGTTCCAGAGGACTGAAAAATGGCTAATGTAACACCCCTGTTTAAGAATGGAGGGAGACAGAAGGCAGGAAAATAAAGGCCAGTTGGCCTGATCTTGGTCATTGATAAGATTTTAGAGTCCATTATTAAGGATGGAGCAGTTGGAAATGCATGGTAAAATAGGACCGCGTCAGCACTGCTTGGTCAAGGGGAGGTTATGTCTGGCAAAGCTGTTTTTTTTTTTTTTTTTTTTTTTTTTTTTTTTTTTTTAAGTTTTTTGAGGAGGTAACGAGCAAGTTAGACAAAGGAGAGCCAGTGGACATGATTTATTTGAATTTCCAGAACACATCGCATGAAATGGCTACCTGACAGAAGGCAGAGAGTGACAACAAAGGGGTCTTTTTCAGGAAGGCAGATGGTGACTAGTAGAGTTTGGCTGGGTCAGTTTTGGGACCACAGTTATTCACAGTATACATTAATGTTCTAGAAAAAGGAACTAAGGGCATTGTTGCTAAGTTTGCAGATGACACAAAAATAGTTGGAGGGACAGCTAGTGTTGAGGAGGCAGGAGGCTGCAGAAGGACCTGAACAGGCTACAGCAGTGAGCAATGAAGTGGCAAATGAAATACAATATGGGAAGCTGTGAGATTTGGCAGGAAGAATAGAAGTGTAGGCTATTTTCTAAATGGGAAAAGCCTTTGGAAATCTGAAGCACAGGGGACTGTGCATAGAAATGTTAGTTCAGGATTCTCTTAAGGTTAAATTCCAGTTCAGTTAGCAGTTAGGAAGATAACAGCAATGTTAGCATTCACTTCAAGAGGGCTAGAATACAAGAACAGAGATATACCGCTGAGGCTACATAAGGCTCTGGTGAGACTGCATTTGGAATATTGTGAGCACTTTTGGGCCCTGTATCTAAGCAAGTAAGTGCTGGTTTTGGAAAGGGGCCAGAGTAGGTTTACAGAATGATTCTGGAGACGAAGAGCTTGTCATATGAGCAGCAGTTGAGGACCCTGGGTCTGGACTCAATGGAGCTTGAAAGAAGGAGGGGAAAATCTGATTGGAACATACAAAATACTGAGAGGCTTGGATAGAATGGATGTGGAGAAGATGTTTCCACTAGTAGGAGAGACTAAGACCCAAGGGCACGGCCTCAGAGTGAAGGGACAACACTTTAGAACTGAGATGAGGAGGAATTTCTTGAGCTAGGTGGTGGTGAAAATCTGGAGAACTCATTGCACAGAAGGCTGTGGAGGCCAAGTCATTGAGTGTCTTTCAGACAGAGATAGATAGGTTCTAGACTCGTAAAGGGATCAAGGGTTAGAGAGAGAAGGCAGAAGAATGGTGTTGAGAAAAATAGCAGCCATGATCAAATGATGGAGCAGGCTTAATGGGCTGAATGGCTTAATTCTGCTCCTATATCTTATGGTCTTATAGTAAAGCAACTTAAATAGCTTGAGCATATGCATAAACCAAATCTACAAACCTTTTACAACTTGGCTTCTTAAGACATAAAAGACGGTGGAAAAGCCAAAGATTAGAGAATCTGTGAAAAACAATTATTTTAAGCAGAAAAATCTCATTACCTGTAACTATATCAGCAATGCTCTTGTCTCTGCTGGTGATTAGAATACGACATTGAACATCAAAACACTTTAGCACCCAGCTGTCCCAAATGTCATCCAGAACCAAAAGGGATCTAAATTAAATTGAAAAAGAATCTCAGGGTGTGCAGTGTGCTTTATTACCAATTAACAGCTTGAAGGTGTGACAATTCTTAACTACAAGGAAAGAAACAGTTAACAAATGCAGATTTCTGGATCCTTCCACTCTGACCTTTACAGTTTTCCGACTGATTATGCATTTTTCTGAAAAATGCATTTAGTCAACGTCGGAAAGTCTGACATGATGCATTTAAATTGATCCTTTATTCTTTGAAAGTTATGTATAGTTGAAATGCAAGCATTTCAAAGCTCATCCGAAGTATTTCGCATTTGCCACATTATCCAATTGTTTGATACAAGGAACCAAAATAATAGCACAAATGTTGTACTCATAATGCAAATCTTCAGACCATCTGACATAAATAAATACAAATTAAAGGAATGATTATGCTGTATTAATATTTTAAACAACTTTGAGATATCTTGTTCCGTTTAGTGATTGGAACTTAACTTTAGAATAGTGACTAGACGCGCTTATTTAGAATAAATACAAGAGAGATTTTATCTTATTTTTTACTAGAGATTTTTATGTCACCTACCTGGGGTATTTACGTGCCATCAAGAACCGGAGTCGGTCCCTAGCTTCCTCAATGTTAAGAGGTGGACTTGGGTAAGTATGGGACTCCTGGTTAAGTCGGCTGCAGAGATTCTGCAGTTTAACAAGGATACCTGCACGGTCTTGCTTTCCAACTGCTACCCAGTGTACTCCTCCAGGGAAACACGCTGCCAAATTACAGTTCCAAAGATTGAATCAAATTATTGAACTTTGAAACAAACAGTCTAACAATGTTGCAGAAATGAAACTTTATGCTTGAACATTAAGAATTAACAATAGTGCACTTGTCTATTTAGGAAATGTTACTCAATGCATGGTCGCACTGCTCAAGCAATTTTTTTTTCCATTCAAAAGTAACTGCACATAAGCTGCACTGAGTATCTCTTTTCTCTCTTCAAGCAGCTTCACAGCAATACAACTAGAAAGGCCGCATCTATTCTGAATCAGCGTCATTCTTCAGCTAAGGTGGAGTCAGCAATACAATAAAGCTTTTCCCATCCTCACTCGGAGTCGTTTGCAAAACAAATGCAACTGCCTTGATACTTTCTCCTCACACCCCCAAACTTCCAAAATATTTATGCTACAAACTTAAATTCCAATATCACACTCCATCTGTGGCACCAGAGAAGATGTGATCCACATGTGCTGGAGTGAGCAGCAGGCACAGAGTCAAAGTTTCCCACAAACCAGAAAAGGCTCCAGGCCATTCGGGCACTCCATAGCAGAGTCATACAGCACAGAAACAGACCCTTCAGTCCAACCAGCCCATGCCGAACATAATTCCAAACTAAACTAGTCCCACCTGCCTGTTCCTGGCCCATATCTCTCCAAATCTTTTCTATTCATGTACTTATCCAAATGTCTTTTAAACATTGTGATTGTACCCACATTCGCCACCTCCTTAGGAAGTTTATTCCACCTGCGAACCATGCTTTGTGAAATAAAACTGCCGCTGATTTTTTAAAAAATTTCCCTCCTCTCACCTTAAAAATGTGCACTCATGTCTTGAAATCCTCCATTCTAGGGAAAAGACAACTACAATGAACTCTATCAATACCCCTCAATATTTTATAAACATCTATAAGGTCACCTCTCCACTTATGTTCCACCTATGTCCCAGCCTCTCCAGCCTTTCTTTATAACATCATAGAATCCCTACAGTGTGGAAACAGGCCCTTTGGCCCAGCAAGTCCACACTGACTCTCAGAACATCCCATCAAGACCCATCCCTCTATAACCTATCTAATCTACACATCCCTGCACACTATGGGCAATTTAGCATGGCCAATCCATCTAGCCTGCACATCTTTTGGACTGTGGGAGGAAACCGGAGCACCTGGAGGAAACCCACGCAGACACGGGGAGAATGTGCAAATTCCACGTGGACAGTTGCCCAAGGCTAGAATCAATCCTGGGTTCCTGGCACTGTGAGGCAGCAGTGCTAACCAATGCGCCACCATGACACTCAAACCTTCCAATCGCCAGTCTGAAAAGCAACCCTCCATCACCACTCTCTCTCTCCTGCCATTAACCTGATGATATTTAGGTCTTCGAAGGCCGTTTTGATATAAATGGCTACAAGATTCTATATTTTTCACAACAGTCACTCAGAAAGTTTAAAGGGAAATACATCTCACTTAATGTTTGCATTAGGTCTGCTCTTCTACAAATAGAGGCCACTTGTGTCCTGGCAAGTTGTCAAAGGAATATTAGCACAGTGCTCTGATAAGCCTATTCTCCCTTGTCAAACAGCCCAGGAGACAGCTTCCTGGTTAGTTCTATCAAATCTCTGCACGAGTGGGAGTAAGTCTGGACAGCCAGGCTGCTGAGGTGTTAAAAGCCAGAGATGCTGGTCCATCAAGAAAAACAGTCCTTCTGTTCTGGACACCTGCTGTAAAATTGAACTACCCACAAAACAGACACAGGCCTACTTTCATAGTTCTTTAGCTTCCATAAGGCCAAATAAAAATAAATGTCATTGGAATAAGCACAGCAATGAACCTTAGTGTGCTTTTTAAATGGTACATATACAAATGGTACATAAATGGTACCTTTTAAACATATACGGTTAATCTTTAATATTTACATCATTATACAATAAATGAAAACTGCGATTGTGAATAATCTGTGACCTTGTTTCTTTCAGTAACTGATACTCGCAAACATCAGACATGTAACTTGAGAAGGTAAGCAGAGACTGTGAGTGAGTGTTAAGTGGAATGTGGAAACACGAGTGAAAGTGTCATGAATAAGAATCTTTCTCCTACAAATTCCTAAATACTGCTGCCTGTGATGTGGCTACACCCTTTCCATATCCTCAATACTCTGCTTTAAGGATTTCACGTCTTGCCCCTTCTTCCACTTTAGGGATTGCGAGGCACAGGATTCTTTGCAGAGAGACAGAAAAAAAAGCCCTGGAACACAGTGTGTGGCTATCACTGCAGCAATCCACCTGACCCCACCCCCACTCTGAATTTTCATGCCTTGTTCAATCCTGGTACATGTGTGAATTTAAGACACCCCATGAACCTCTTGTTTCACTGATGTCAGGAGACAGGGAATATTAGCTAACCTTTGCTACCAAACTGCAATCTTATGATTTGCTTTTGATTTCAAAAGTAACTTGCCACTCTAGGTAGGTGCAGCATAAAAGAGACATGGCAGCTCCCCGAACGCCTGGCATTAACAAGAACAAAGTTGCGTCTGTGGTGACAAATTCAATGAATATTTAGTAAATAAAATCCCTTTTGGCTAATTAAATGAGAGTTCACAATTGGGGTTCATATTTGCCTTCCCATGCCATGAAATACTCTTCAAAATTCTTGAACTTTATAAAAAATGGTTCACTTATCTTTCTGGCATGATCAAAAGTGATGAACTGAGCAAGCCTAACACAGAAAACATTAGTCATTTGCCTTATGCAGCAATGCATCCCTAATTAAGTAGTCCTACAGGGAATGCTTTCTAACTGCCGACCGAAACTGTGCTGTCAACTATCTTTATTCTCAAAATAGTCAACGCAAATTAATTTAGAATGCTGCAGTGTTGTGTGAGAAGTATGTATCCAATTCTGCGGCACAGCCACTCTGTACTTGTTTTGACATTAGGATTTCAGTGGGGTTTACTGGTGAGTGTGTGTTTATGCCGTCAGTGTAATTCCAGAATCTGCTCTCCCAAAATGTGGTTGAAACCCAGCCCACTTTGAATAGAACAAGTTAAGAGTTTAAATTTTGGTGGCTACAGATGAATCACTACAGTGGTAGTTGTGGTGGAAGCAATTTTAGGGGGTGAATTAGGCACCACAATTTGAAGTGCCCGGACATACATGAAATGTATTTGCATACTGGTGCCAATGCACAATATCAGTATATTCATCATCAGTATTAATAAGAAGTCACAATGCAAACTCCAAGCTGCTGATACTTTCACATGTTATATATACCACATATGAATGAATGTACTTGGCCATTCGGCTAGATTGCAATTATCTAAGATTCCCTACATGTTCAAGCATAAAAGCCTACGAAAGGGTCAGAACCACATTCAGACACATTGCCTACAACTTTAAGATAGGCAATACCTAGTCAGGCGTACTAGGTGTCAGCTATGGTTCAGTCGGTAGCAACTGTGCCTCTGAGTTAGAAGGCTCAAAGCTGGCATTCCATTGCAGCACCTTTTCACGTGAGAAAATATTGCACTGTCGTAAGTACCATCGTAAAATTTGACGTTAAAGTGAGATGCTGTCAACCCTCTCAGGTGGGCCTAAAATACTAATTTGAAATTATTTCCAATGTCCTGGTGAATATTTAATCCTCATCACTAAAACAGATTATCTGGTGTTTGGAAAGCTTCATATTTACATTTTTTTGGAGGCTTTGAATTTTGAAGTATAGTGGAAATGAATTTATTTCAAGCTGTGGAGATACATGGCCTCATTTTTTTTTTTAAAATGAGTCAACGAAAGGATATTCGAACTGTGTTCTGAGGAAGGGTCACTGGACCCAAAACGTTAACTCTTGTTTTTCCTTCACAGATGCTGCCAGACCTGCTGAGCTTTTCCAGCAACTTTGTTTTTGTTGTTGCTGTTGTATTGGAACTTTTGCTTTAAAAGGCACTTCTTGGAAATCACATGACTTCACCTAATTGCTTGGACTCACTTCTCGCATGTCAGTCACCCGGATTTTATGACAGTTCTGTTTGAACCACATTTTGCAGGCGTGTAGAGATTGTTTTGATTTTCAGTTGGGAGCTGGACTGTCCAGTCTAATGAAGATGCTTCTAACTTCAGCTCTCTTGTTTCTGAAAAAGCCTTTGTTATGTGTCCAGTGTAGTATCTGGGATACTGATTTAGATGGTCTCATGAAGGGACGGAAGTGGTGAGAAGGGTGGTGCATGAGGGGGAGCATGGAGATTGGGAGAGAGAAGCAGCAAGTAGAAGGGATTGAAATGTAAGAAGAGGCAGCGAGTGAGGCAGGAGTGGTTTAAAAGACAAACAAGCATACTGCACAGTTATGACATAACTCAGCATATGATAGAAACCAAAGTAAAATGAAATTGGGGTAAGTACTCCAATTTACAAACCATACTTAAATGAAAAAGCGTGATTAGAACATAATTTAAGCAGCAGGTATCTGTAAATTGCCAGCTATGTAGTGTTTTGGGATATCCTCCGATTATGAAAAGAATTAAAGTCATAGAGTTGTACAGCACGGAAACAGACCCTTCGACCCAACTCATCCATGCCATCTAGATATCCTAAATTAATCTAGACCCATTTGCCAGCATTTGGCCTATTCCCTCTACACCTTCCTATTCATAATCCCATTCAGATGCCTTTTAAATGTCATTGTACCAGCCTCCACCAGTTCCTCTGGCAGGGCATTCCATACACATATTGGCCCCTTAGGTCCCTTTTAAATCTTTCTCCTCTCAGCTTAAAAATTCTGAAAAATGCCCTCTAAGTTTTGGACTCCCCTATCCTGGGAAAAAGCCCTTGGCTATTCACCCTATCCATGCATCTCATGATTTTATAAACCTCTATAAAGTCACCCCTCAGCCTCCGACACTGCAGGGAAAATAGCCCCAGCCTATTCAGAGATAGTAAGAACTGTAGACGCTGGAGTCAGAGATAACACAGTGTGGATCTGGAGGAACACAGCAGGCCAGGCAGCATCATAGGAGCAGGAAAGCGTTTCTGAAGAAGGGTCCCAACTCGAAACGACAACTTTCCTGCTTCTCTGATGCTGCTGGACCTTCTATGTTCCTCCAGCTCCACACTGTGTTATCCCAGCCTAATCAGTGTCTCCCTATAGCTCAAACCCTCCAATCCTAGCAACACCCTTGTAAATCTTTTCTGCACCCTTTCAAGTTTAACAATATCTTTCCAAAGCGGGGAGGCCAGAACTGAATGCAATATTCCAAATCCAAGAGTTTTTTTTTTGAACAAAGATGGAAGAAAAGAATAAAAAGTGTGAAGTTTCTCAACACGGAAACTTACTGGTTATAACAGTGTGATTCCTCAGAGCTTCAGCTGCTAATACTGACTTTCCACAACCTGCCATCCCATATATAGTAATCCACCCAGGTTCGTTTTCCAGCTTGTAGAGTACGTTTCGGATAGATCGCACAAGTTCTGGACGATCAACAAACACAACAGGGCGCTGTGGCACACCACCTTCACAAAGTATAGTTTGAACTAGGAAGAAAAGAAAAACACAAGAAAATAGATATTGTTGTTATACAGGGTACTGGTACAGAAAAATTAAACACTAGTTACTTGATGGAACATAAAAATATATATCGGCTCTCGGTTCAATTTTCACCTTCTGCTGTTCTTTTCCTTTCTCGTACCCAAGTACCTGAATTTAAATGGCATGATCATGTGGCTATTTGGTGTTAGGGTCAAAAATTGGTTAATCAGTAAATTGCCCGAATCATTGAAGGAATCAGATGACTATCTCTATACTTCATTTAAAAAGCGAGTTTCATTCAAGGATCCGATCTGAAATTTTGCTAACTAAAAGCTCAGGTCTTAAAAACGCAGGTCTACCAGCATCTGAGGAGAGAGAAACAGAGTTAATATTCCATCTTGATAGCCCATCATTGGAAAGTTTGGTAAACTTCTGGCAGAAAGCTACTAATCCTTACAGATGAAAGATGTACAGTTGTATTCCTGATGGTACCAATTTACCAACAGTTAACTGGTAATCAGTGAGACAAGGTGTGGTAGAAACTAATTGTTGAAGTTGAGCTGCATATATGCTTGAGGAACAAAGGGTAAATGTAGCAACTTTTGGATTGACTCCAGACACCAGCTAGGTAAACAGACAGTAGTTTGACCTCCTTCAAGAAAAATACCACCTTCACAATAGGATTCTCACTCTCCACGCGAGGACATCACATTTCCTCCACTAAAGACATTTCATGGTAGCGGTGTGGCATGTGACGAAGGTCATTGGATCAGACTGTTCACCACACTGAACAAATGTGGCCCCTGAAACTTTGCTGCAGGATTTAAGACAATCCATCTAATAACACAGTGACTTGGACTGTCCAACTTATACTTAAAAAAAAAGAGAGATGTCATACAAAAGAAGATGACTGTGGCTGCACTGATTTGCTGCTTTGCATGGAGTAGTGTGGAAACATTTGCCTTCAAGGTTGTTGCAGGATCATTCTTTCCTTTTCATTCCTTTTTCTACTGCAGCTCTCTTCCTCACTTCTTATCTCTCTTCAAAATTATTTTCTTCAGTTTGTTTTCATTCAGTATCATCCATACCCTCTTCCCCTCCGTCAATACCGGATAGAAGCAGTATTACACTGACGATCTGTTCCAAAAAGTGCCAGACATATAGTGAACTGAATGAGGCCTTTCAAAACCTCCACACTTGTCAAAGATTACCATCAATACTTAATTATCCTGCAAAGGCAACACTTCAGGAAAGATCATATAATTAATGAAGACTGAGCAATACAGAAAAGGTTCTTCGCTTGGAGTTGACACCATATTACAAGTTATCTGATAGACAAGTGCCTCAAAGTGTCCAGCATAGTGGGTATGAGTGGAATGCTTCTGGAGCCGAAGGAGGTCAAAATGATCATGTAACTCGACCGGGAACAGTTGTACTTATTCACTTAGCTTACCCGGAGGTGATAGGTTTGAAATGAGGCCATGAAAGGCTTTTTGTAGTATGATTAAAATTTGCAATTTGAACCACACACTGCGAACTAATGCAGGTCAGTAAGGAGTCATATTGGCAAAGTTTTCTGCATGCTAGACTGTGGAAAGCAGACATTCTGATGAGTGGAGGCTTTTGGAAGATGAAGAGGAGGAGACCAGCCAGGTCAGTTTTGAAATATTGAAGTCTTAAGGTGAAAAAGACTCAATTGAAGGCTTCAGATGAAGATTATTCGAGATAGAGGTGAAGGTTCACAGAATCACAGATGTAGAAGTAGACATCTTTGTGATGGAAAGGATATGGGATTGGAAACTCAACTCAAATTCATAGGATGATGACAAACTTTTAATAATCCAACAACACCAGCATCAGGCATTCTCCTTATAATCAGAGTTAAGGCAGACCTTTGGAACAGAACCCCTAAAGATTTAACCTGTACTTTTCCATGTTGGAATTTGACAAAGGCTATCAAAATATGAAACTGCTGCACTATCACAATGCTGGCGATATTCATCATGATAAATAGAGGTACCAAAAGCATAAACAAAAGGGTGAATAGTATAGATAAAAAAGCTAAAAATCAGCAGTGAAAGGATATATTTAAAATTATACATAAACGAGCAACCAGTTTTCTTGTAATGCAATTTTTAATCTAAAACATTCTAGACGTCTTGGATGGCTGGGTGGATCATTGGTTCTGGGCCACGCAAGTCTGGTCTAAAAAGAATGAAATAACTTCAGTCAGGTTAACAGTGGGAGCACAGCAAATGTCTTCAATTGCTTTTGCAAGGGGCACTAAAGAATTCCAACTCAGCAACTTGAAAGTACATATGCAATTATCACCCAATGACAGGATCACACTCACTCTCATGCTTCCTTGCTAGTACTCACTAATCCTCCATGAAATATTAGTAAATGGAACAAGTATGGAAGAACGTGAGGTACATAGGATTTTTTTAAGTTTTAATTAGAAGTGATAACCTCAAAATGACATTAAATCTCTTTTTCAATAAATATATTCAGGAACAGCATGACAGCTCAAGGGAAAACTGGGGAAAAAGATTTAATATAAACCCAAATGACAAAACCAAAATATGAAGACAGTTTAAGACTTTTGAAAAAGCATTAGTGCATTATATACACGAAAATATTAAAGAGCTGGGTTATGCTCTAAGCAGCGAAAGAACAATGCCCACCAGTCACCTCACAGATAGCTATCCAGAGGCTTTTCACAGACTTGTCAGCTGAGCTTTCCTCTCATCTGCTGTTTTTTTCAGTAAAGGGTCATAACCTCTACAAACCCATCAAGAAACAGTGGATCTCTTCAACCACAAGACAGATTGAGTCCAAGACAGCAGATACAGAGTAGGAAATATAAATGAATTGAAACGATATACAGACAGTGAAATAAAGGTGGAGTTAAAGAACAGAGATGGGTGAGACAAAGTTTAAAAAAAGTTTTTGAATCACAACATTAATTTTCTTCTGAAGGAATGAGATGCCACACTTATAACAAAAAAATTGCACATGGCCAGAGAGGTTGTTAATTAATAACTATTATTTATTACACGTTAAAACTCAGTTATTCCTGATTGTAGTAGACTGAGCTTATCCAGTTATTCCAGACTGAAGTACTTTAACAGGATCCTGCCTTTACAGTCATTTCAATGTTGAGTCCCAATATGTGAGGACTGCAACAATGCACACTGTGGAATAGCAAGCTCTTACAATTTCTGGTTTCTGCATTTAACTGTCCATGTATGTACTTCTGAAATTGCTGTCAAATGTCCTTCATTATAACAGCGAAAATAGACTCCTTATTATTTTCATCACCAACTCTGGGCCATGAAGAGAAGCTGCAGGAAAGATTGTGACTTCAAAAATAAATCTATTCTAGGATCACTGTGTTATTGTTAATCAAAAAGGCGACCGGAAATAAATAGAGTAACTACCACTAGAGAAATGCGTTAAGGAAACTAATGGGGCTAAAGGGCAAGTCGTCTCCTGGACCTGATGGGTCTGTAGAATTTTACAAGAAGTGGCTTCAGCGATAGTGGACATACTGCTGGCAATCTTCCAAACATCCTTAGATTCTGGAAAAGTTCCAGACGACTGGAAAACTACCAATGTAACATCCTTATCTTAAAAGAGAGCCAAAAAAAGGTAACTATAGATCAGTCATCAACAGAGCCAGCATGGTTTCATGAAACAGAAAATATGCCTGACAAATTTACTAGGATTCTTTGAAAAAGTAAAGAAGCAGGATAGGTATAAGGGGCAGAAGTGGATGTAATATATCTGGATTTTCAGAAGGCATTTGATAAGGTACCATAGGTTAAGCTACTTAATAATGATAAGAGTCCATGGCGTTGGAGGTAGTAATTAGCATGGCTAGAAAGACTGGATAACAAATAAAAAATAGAGTTGGGAGAAGGGGGAATGCTCAGGATGGCAACCTGTAACTAGTCTGTGCCACAGGGATCAATGCTGGAGACATAAGTATTTACAATATACATATTAATGACTTGGATGACAGAAGTGAATACAATGTTGCCAAGTTTGCAAATGATGTAAAAATAGGTGGAAAGTGCAAAAGATGAGGATGCCACATATAGCCTGCAGAGGGATAAGTGAGTGGGCAAAAGCTTGGTAGATGGAATATAATGTGGTAAAATGTGAGGTAGATGAATAGAGTAGTTGAACATTATTTACATGGTGAAAGACTACAGAAAGATACAGAACAGAGGATTTGGGAGTCCTCATGTATGAATCACAAAAAATTAGCAGGCATATTCAGTGGAAAATGTAATTTAGGCCTTTGTATCAAAACAAAAGGAGTAGATAAGTAGGGAGCCTTCATTAAAACTATGAAAAGCACTAGTCAAACCTCAGCTGGAATACTGTGAACAGTTTTGGACACTTATCTAAGGAAAGATATCCTGGAATTGGAGGGAGTCTAAGGAAGGTTCACTAGGCTGATACCTGGTATGGACAGACTGTCTAGTAAGGAGAGATTGAGTAGGTATGGCCTATATTCATGGGAGTTTAAAAGCATAAGAGGCAATGTTATCACATTCGTATGTTTCATTCAAAACAAGATTCGTAGGGGTCTTTTCTAAAAAATTTACAAATGGGACACAGGCATTGTTAGCTGGGCCAGCATTTTATCACCCATTCTTAATACCCAGAGGGTAGATCAAAGTCAAACTCATTGCTGTAGGACTGGAGACAGATGTAGGCCAAATTAGGTAAGGACAAGAGATGTTTTCTTCTGACAGTCAGCAACAGTTTCATGCCCATCATTAGTCTCTTAACTCAAGATATTTCATTGAATTCAAATTCCACCATCTGCCCTGGTAGGATGTGAACTCAAGTCCCCAGAACGTTCGTCTGAGTCTCTGGATTAATAGTTTAACAATAATACCATTAAGCCATCACCTTCCACTAAAGTGTGCAGAAGTAGGGTAGCTGAGGAATCTGAAATCATGGATGAAGATTTTAAAATCAATGACCATGTAAGTCAGCAAACAGTGGCGATTGGTGAAGAAGACTTAATGTGAATAGGACACCATCAGCAGATATTTGGATGACCTCAAGTCTTTGGCAGGTTAAACATGGAATGAATGCCAGGACTGTATTGCTACAGGCAAATCTAGAGGTAACAAAGGCATGAATGAACATTTCACCAGCACAGTGATGATGCGTCAGCATGGAGATATATCAGTGCTATGTGAAAGTGCAAGAATCAAGTGTTTTATTCAAGTTTTAAGTCAGCTCACAGATGATTTGACCCAAAGGCTATGTGCAAAAAACATTTTTTTTAACATTGTGAATGGGTGGGTCCTGGACTGCACATTAACCAGATGATGGAGGCTGAGGCAATCATGTTTTTTTTAAAAGAATTAAAGGATCTGAAGAGGAGAATGCGTGAGGTTACAGGGAAAGGGCAGGGGAAGTGGGGCTAGCCAAATTGCTCTTGTGGAGGTCTGACATAGACTCAACAGGCTGAAAGCACTTCTTCTGTGCTGCAATCATTCTATGCCTGTGGAAGTTTGCAGACAGGGTTTATCAGCAAGAGTATACCTTATGCCTGCAAAGGTCCAAGTAGCATTCCAGACAGTGTCTGTCAGCTCTAGTTTTCATGATAACAGGCATCCAAACTGATACAATTATTGAATATCTCCAAGCAAATCAAAGTAGCCACTGGCAGCTATAATCAGTGAACCTATATGCTCCTTTAATTATGTTTCATGGCTTGACTGTTCCGCATGTGGCGGCATTTCAAATGAGAGATTATCGGGATGAGGAAGGAAGAGCAACACGAGTTTGGCCCAGTAATTATAAATTAATCGGGGGATCATTCTCTCCTCCACAAGGGAAGGAAGTAAAAGGTAGAAGTTTCAGAGATGCTGCTCATACTTTCTGAATCCTCCTTAGATAAAGGACTGGTGCCAGATAACAGAAGGAATGCAAATATTACACAATCATATTTGATATGGAACTTTCAACTGCAAATTCAGTCAGATTAATGTCAGTAGTGGGGAAGCTTTTTAGAAACAATTAAAAACCATCACCACCACATGGACTAAAAAAGAAAAGCTATGATGGATCTGTTAAGAGCAAATTATATTGGATTAACTTGATCTACATTTTTTATTGTGACAACACAGAGGATGGTTAAGGACAGTGCACCAGGGATGGGCAAGAAATGCTGGCCAGCCAGCGACGCCCACATCCCACAAATGAATTAAAAACAACTTATGTATATGGACTTTTGAAAGGCTATATTAGGCTTGTTCGTAAAGTAGAAACCGATGGGATAAAAGGGCCGGTAACATTATGATGTAAACTGCTTAAGGAAGATGTGGTGATTGGCTTTTTTTTAAGACTGGAGAGAAATATCCAGTCGTGCAGTCTGAGACATGACCTAAAACCGAACATCAAATTATTCACATTTCAGGATCGTCACTGATGTTATCTTTTCTGGAGATCTTCCCTCCATTGCCACCAACTTGTCAGTCCCTGAATCCCTACAAGCCTGCTTGCCACTCTTTCCCAAGATTCTCAACAGTATTACCTTGCTAGACTTATCTGATATTCTGTCTCCACTCTACTGAACTGATTTCTTCTACTGAATCCTTTTGTTTTCTCCCTTGATCAGTTTCCTCACATCTACATCATTTTAATAACTTCCATCACACAAGAGTTTCCAATTTGTTGGCCCACATGGTCTCAGTTTTCTATGGATGTTCAATCTTACTACGCCTCTATTCCCGGATCAAGATGATTTGAGGACTCGCCACTTCTTCCTTGAATAAAGGCCCAACCAGCTTCCGTCCATCAGCACCCTCCTTCCCCAGATAATATTTTCTCACATTGAACAACTTTTCCTTTAACTCTCCTAATTTTTTTCAAATAAAAGGCATTGCTATGAGAACACACGGGGGCCTGAGTCTGCCTACCTTTTTGTGGGTGACTGTAACATTCCCTGCTCCAGTTCTACTCAGTGCCCCAGTTGGAAATCTCTTTCTCTCAGTACATCAATGGTTGAATTGGTGCTCTTTCTTGCTCTTAATCCAAACTTTGAATCCAATTTCTGCTCACCAGCGCACGATGCATCTCGGACTCTTCCTTTTTCAACTTCTGCCCGCTTTCCTGGGGATTGCTTATCAACAAATATTCACTCCAAGCCCACTGCTTCCATATTTATTTCTGAATATTTTCTACACATCCTGTTCTGAGATGCCTCTGGAGCAGATGGAACTTGAATCCAGGCCTCCTGGTTCACAGTCTGCTTAGTATCACTGCATCAGAAGAGCACTCCTATTTATTTTTAAGGTTAAGGGGAGAATTTTAATAAGGTATAAGCTTTAATAAGGTAATAAGCTGTTTTCAATAATTGAAGGACGGATAACTAGAGATCACAGGCTTTTGGTGATGGACAAAGGAATTAAAGACATGAGGAGTAACATTTTAACGTGAGTTGTTAGAATCTGAAACAGTTGTAAATTGTAGAGTTCAAATAGAAATTGCATAAATATTTGAAGAACTAAAATATTCTGTGATATGGGCAAGGAGCAAGAGAGTGGGTTTGCTCTATGAAAAAACTAGTGTAGGCTGTATGGGCCATCTCTATACAGTGGTTCCAAGTGCTAAGGGAAGGGAGTTCCTTTATTCAGTGTTCACATTTCTACTGGTCATATCACTACCTGTTTCTCATGTTACACATAGAGGTACATCAAAATTTCACCATTTTGAGACTCAGTGACACTGCAAATAGAATGAGAATCTCAGGATAACTCAATAGCAGCTTCAGACGCATAACACAAGTTTATGAAAAGCTCCAAATAACTCATCATTTATATTTTCAGTCAACTTTCATGAACTGCACTACTACTTAATCCAATTCTTCTGAAGGAATCAGTGGCCATATGAACACCTCACCACAGTAGCTGAGACCTCAGGAGGGTAAAAGGACTCTAATCTGTCCTGTTGGAGCGTCACTACCCAATCAGTCAAATTAATTACCTTTGTATCACTCGCCAAAATCTTTTGTACTTTCATGCTGTAAGCTTTTAAAGTGGATATTTCCCATAATGCTAGTTTTTACTTCCCCGTTTAGAACAATATACTTTGTCAGCTGACCAAAATCATTTGCCTTTAAATAGAACGGAAAATGATTTTGACATTCAGACATGTTTGATTCCACCTTTCTTCCCTCTTTGTTTTTACAAGCAACTTCTCCACCCTTTTATTTGTTCAATTCTCTTCTCTTGCCTCTGACTCAAAAATCACAGCATGATAATTTCTCATATTCTTGCTCCTGCCTGCAACATGGATAAGAGAGGCCAAGGTCTCAATTAAATTTTCAACAACAATGCTATTTTTGGATATCCCAACCAAATATAAGCCTTTATGTGCAGTATCAAACCATTTTTCTCCTCTCCAGAAGATATCTCACTCAGCAGCTCAGCAGGGAGTTATCTTTACTGCGTAGGTAAGTTGAAAGAAAAAGGTTTCATGTAATTCAAACCCACAACGACTCCAGTAATGCAAATGTAAATCCCAGGAAATATCGCTTTCATGTCAACTGCTCCATAATTTCTTCAATTCCATTTAACGGTTGAAGGCATTGCCAAAATAAAAACACCCACAGCACTAAGATCAATGAGGTCTCTCTTCAGTACAAGTATTTAACATTACATGCTCTTCAAGAAATCTGTGGCATAATTGCACCAGAAAAGTAGTAAAACAACTTTAAGGTCATACATAGACTGCAAGTAAATTACTAGCTTACTTAAGCACATATAATTTTTAGATGCATATGAATCACAATAGAAGGAATATATAAGCCATTTAAGTTACCAAGACAACCAGAACAATGTCATTCTGCAGTAAATATACTCACCAAAAGCAGTTGGACCATCTATAGATGTTTTATTTGTAGAAGCAGAGACAATTGGAAGGCCATCTTGAAGAAGCGCGGCAAGTTCTTTGTATCCTTCATTCAGTAACGCATTGTAGAAAGATATGACAGCACAATTACCCTTTTGAAGGATTAGGTTTATAAGTAAAGCAGCTCGTTCTTTCTGCGTAACCTGAAAAAAGGCAGAAAAATATCATAACTGGGGATTCATTTTCCAGCGAAACACATTCAACAGAAAACAATTTGGCATTGCATGAATTTGGCCATCACTTTATTGTGCTTTCTTAGATCATAGATCATAGAATCCCTGCAGTGTGGAAACAGGCCCTTCGGCCCAACAAGTCCACACCGACCATCAGCGCATTCCACCTAGGCCCATTCCCCATAACCCACGTAATCTACACATCCCTGAACACTATGGGCAATTTAGCATGGCCAATCCACCTAGCCTGCACATCTTTGAACTGTGGGAGGAAACCAGAGCACCCGGAGGAAACCCACACAGACCCAGGGAGAATGTGCAAACTCCAGACAGACAGTCGCCCGAGGGTGAAATCGAACCTGGGTCCCTGGCGCTGTGAGGCAGCAGTGCTAACCACTGAGCCACACCGCTTTGCTAATTTTCCCTTGGAAAGGTAGTGGTTATCATGCACCAGTTTATTTTCAATTTCAAAAATAATACTTTATACATAAAAAATATCTCTCTCACACACACACACACACACACACACACGCGGTTTGGTTCTGTACAGTAGCAGATCAAGGAAACAAATAAATTTTGGAGTTTGACTCTATCCAACAAACAAGCCAAAAGCATCTCTTACTTGTGCAACATTATATTTACATGTATTTGAACCACTGAGAGGGTCTGATAACTGAACAGATCCCGTTTAACTTCGGCAGAAAGGCCTCACGCTGCGGTCTTTCCCCACTGCACCTCAGCAGCAGCTGCCCCAAGCTTTAGTGCATTCGTCAGCACGTAGTCCTGGACCTTGGAATGTGCCAGTCTGCAACACTCAGTCGGGGTCAACTCCTTGTTCTAGAAGACCAACAAGTTTCAGGCAGACCAAAGAATTTCTTTCACCAAGTTGATGGTCCTCCAGGTGAGGTCGATCTTTGTCTTGGTCTGTTTATCATGCACCCCCAGTTGTTTTGACTATTAAGGTCGGGTCACAAGTTTAGGAGGTTTTGTTCACGAATCTTAAGAGAGTTGCTACAGCGCGTAATACACCTTACACCATGATGCGCCAATGGTGAAAGGTGTGTGTGGTCAAAATAGTAGGTGGTTGCCTATCACTGGTACTATCAGCCTCCGACAAATTTAGGTGAATTCAATGCTTGAAGAGTTTTTAACCATGACACTTAATAGGAAAAGTAATTTATGCATGAAAATTTACTCTTAGCTGAACGTTATGAACATTTTGTGAGCAAATCTCAAAGTTCAAAAAGTTTGTCATTAACAAAACTGCTGTATCTTAGCCGAATATCATTACTACCAAGACATGACGTGCTAATATTCAGCAGTGTCTAGAAGATAAAGCAACTTATAGTGTTGATTTGTCAGTGATAATATGAGGCCTTTTTTTGCACCAACACAACAACGGAAGAAAACAATGAGTAAACTAATTTGACAGTGATTACAGATGAGCATTAGCACAAAAGAGCAGATTAAATCCTAGACATGCCAATAAGCAAACCCGCATATACATCATTAATAATAGCTTCCTACAGTTAGTTACCTGAGCTCTAACCTTCTGTTCATCCTCAAGACTCAGAACCTCTTCACTTATGAGGTGATCCATAATATATGAGGTCTTGATATCTTGCTCAAGTGCAGAGCGATTTTGTAATAAACAACTGCGCGTTCGTTCATCCATGTTAGCAATGATTTCCAGCTGAAGGAGCCTTACCACACCCCTACAAATAAAAGCAGAAATATTGTAGTAGCCCACAAAATATTCAAAAATGATCAAAATTAATCTGAAGTTGACTTTTTTTAAAATTCAGTCTGTGACATGGTTGCTGCTGGCAAGGCCAGCATTTATTGCCCGTCCCTAGTTGCTCTTGGGAAAGTGTCGGTAAGCTGCCTCTTGAACCTCTGCAGGCCATTAGCTGTAGGTAGACCCACAATGCTGGTATGGAAGGAATTCCAAGATTTTGATCCAACAACACTGTAGGAACAGCGATATATTTCCAAGTCAGGATGGTGAGTGGCTAGAAAGGGAAATTGCAGGTAGTTGCATTTCCATGTAGTCGCCGCCCTTGTCCTTCTAGATGGAAGTGATTATGGGTTTAATGGAACTTTTTATCGATCTCTGGTGAATTTATGCAGCGCATATTGTAGATAATACACACTGCTGCTGCTGAGCATCGGTGGTTGAGGGAGTGGGTGCTTGCAAAGGTGATGCCAATTAAGCAAGCTGCTTTGCGTTGGATGGTGTCAGGCTTCTTGAGTATTGTTGGAGCTGCGTTCATTCAGGCAAATGGGAAATATTTTATCATACTCCTGACTTGTACCTTTTGGACAGACTTTGGGGAGTCAGGAGGTGAATTACACACTGCAGTATTCCTAGCCTGTGATCTGCTCATGCAGCGACTGTATTGATATAGCTAACCCAGTTCAGCTTCTGGTTAATGGTAATGTCTAGGATGTTACTCATTCTTGGATGTTTAATGACAAAAGAGATGTAAGTGCCCAAAATGGGCAGGCAGCAAACTGCTTTCTCAACTGTAAATTGGTGAGTAATGCAGTAACTGAAGACATCTTTATTCCCATCACTGAAAGATACCAAACTGCTCTCATAGGTAAATACCCTGAAGTAGCAAATGTATTATCTGTTAACAATATTGGACTGGTTAGGATCAGCTAATAAACATTCATATTGCAAGCTGAAAGGTTTTACTGGAAAGTGAGCAATTATCATCATGTTGGATCACTGGATTTTGTTTTTACATTTATAGTGGAAGTAAAATAAAATGTAACATTTCCTCTGAATCATTCAGCCCATCAAGTGCACACCAACCCACTGAAGAGCATCCCACCCAGAGCCAACCCCTATCCTATCCCTGCATTTCCCATGGCTAATCCACCTGACCTGCACAGCCCTCAATACTATGGGTAATTTCACGTGGCCAATCTACCTAGCCTGCACATCTTTGGATTGTGGAAGAAAACCGCAGCACCCAGTGGAAACCTACGCAGACACAGGGAGAATGTGCAAACAGACAGTTGCCTGAGGCTACATTTGAACCCGGGTTGCTGGCGCTGTGAGGCAGCAGTGCTGACCAATGAGCCACCCACTTTTTCAAACTCTGCCCAACTTTAATAAAACTGATGCTGTGATGTACTAACTTCGATATTTTAACATAATTTGAATGCCCTGCATTAAGATTCTCTAACGTTGACCAAAGGCAGTCAAATACAAAGTTCAAGGCTGGATGAACACAGCAGGCCAAGCAGCATCATAGGAGCAGAG